TTCTACTTATTACATTACGGAATCGCTGCCTTCATTCTGCTTACGGCAATCCTTATTTCTCAGTGTTTCATCAAGTTCGATATCTATTCCACTACGTCAAGCTTAATTCCGATTGGCATTTGTGTTGCCGAGCCAGTATGTATGATAATAACGTGGTAATTTCGTTTCAAATGTTTCACTGAATGAGGAACTCGAGTAGTGTGGTGGATTCCAGGTACTTCTATGAACACTTGTTTGTCTCGTGGTGGCTTCAGATCATATTCGTTATAACGATGCTCTTACTGTTTGGTTCCTTACTCAGGTAATGATCACATTGGATTTTAAAGTTATTCAGTTTAGTTTACTTCAGTTATAAAATTGCTCCCACTACTCACTCATTAGAGTGCGTTTCGTAATTATAAGTCCACTCTCAAATTTCGCATGTCCTCGCAATCGCTCCATCGCTTGTCCGTCGCCGAGTGTGACGGCGGTCTTAGAATTTTTCTAGCAATATCAGCGGACACTCCTGCACGAATAACCCCCGTTTCCAATTTTGGCAGCAGCACCATTTTTCTGAACTTTTTTATAAGAGTTTTTTCGTTTTTGCACCGTTTCATAATTATAAGCTCACCCTGAGAAAATGAACAATTTATTTATGTTACTGACACACGTGAGAGAGTTAATAATCTATGACTCCACTTGTTGAAGGGCGAGATCGAAGGACCCCCGTGGCCTTTTAAGAAGTGGGTTACGAAGCTCTTCTTCATCGATTCCGTTCCAAGCTTTGATGACAGCCTGTTTCAGAATTTCTGTGCTTTGTAAGCAGCGGTTTTTCGCATAATTCTTTTTGACGATGATGCCCTAGACGTTCTCCATCGGATGGACATCCGGACTGCAGGCTGGACACTGTTGGACAAATCTGTTTTGGGAATGTAGCCAATCCTTCGCTGAGGGACTTACGTGGACGACAGATTTCTGTCGAAAGACATAGTTCAGACGACGTCGGATTCCATTTTGCAGGCCACTAGTGGAAGTTTCATCATATCATCATTACAGAAGAGCAACCTAGACTTTCACACTTCCTCCACCAAAATGAAGAGCACTAACCAAACGGTCTACCTTCGAAACTTACTCCGAAAGCGCTTGTTTTCGGTAGCACTGACCTTATCAACCTTCTTCATTTAGAAAAAAAGTCTTGAAGGAATCCTTCGCGGAAAATTCTTGCATTCTTTCTTGACATGAATGTGTCAGTTGTGATCACTGGAAACAGCACACAAAGTTTCACGCATGAAGATTCGGTTTCCGAAGAGAAACAAACGTACAAAAACTACACTCTATGGACAATCGAAGGTAATTCGGGCGGAGCCAAAGGCGAGGCATGGAAAGAAGTTGGCCTTGGCCGGCTACGTATCAGGCGACGCAATGAAAGAATCGGGTTAAAGCGCGCGATTTTGGAGAGTAGAGACAAATCGATCGATAGAATAGGATGGAGTAGAAGTGTAAGATGTGAATGCAATAAAGCAGAAGGCCAGAAAGAGTTTCTAGTGAAGGCTCCAAGAACCAAGTGGAAGCATCCCCGTCGCCAGCATTTGTGAAAGACGTCCGTGGGCACTTTGAACGCGTAGCAGCCCTTTCGATTTTTCGAATTTTTTTACCAAAACAAAAGCAATATTTCTGTTCTTTTCATTCTTATCGTGGATAATGAGTCTCAGTGATTTATGGCTGAAATAGAATCATGATTTTTCCGTGAAGTATTCCTTTACCAAGACTATCAAGGTGTATGATGCGATCGTGACGAAGGCCTACCTTTACCGAATCTGGAGTTTAATTCAACTTCGAGAATTGGAGTCGTGCATTTCTGTTGTGGCCAGTGAGCCTCGGGACGATCTTCATCGCCTTTCTGACAATGTCTCTGCTTCTTCTCACCCCTACCCAAACTTTATTTTTCGACACAGAAGTGTTTAATTAGGAGCTAGATCCAACAGAAAGTACTGTTTGGAACTGCCTTCAAATTCTTCTCAAATCGTTGATAGTAAATACACATGAGTGTGTAAAAGTAGTAGAACACCTCAAGACTCGATAGCACTTCAAACATCTTTGGAATGAGCGAGAAGTTTTCCGCTATCCTTCGCAACCACTCTTGTGCTTAGTCCAGCACGTCCAAATGCATAAATCTCGCCTCTTCTTCAGAAGACCACCACGAAACATTCCGAAAATGAAGTTTAAGATTTGTTAGTGACAGATATTCACTTCTGCAAGCACCTTCTGTTGATCCTCATGAGAAATTGTTCATTTTCTCAGGTGAGCTTATAATTATGAAACGGTGCAAAAACGAAAAATTTTTACTAAAAGCTCACGAAAATGGTGTTGCCTGAGATTCCTAGGACACATGGGTCATTCGCGTGGGGGAATCCGTCGATGATGCTGGAAAAATTCTGTATGTCGAGAGCCTCACGTGGTATCGAATTCCCAACGATTGGAAGTATCATTTCATCATCATCACGAAAAACATGTGTAAAGGGTGCTGCGATAACGTTTCAATCAATTTCACAAAAGTGTTTCGTAGAGTTTCAAACACAAATGGATGAACAAGTTCGAAGCTCTCGTTTCCATCCTGCTCTCATAAAATGGACAAGCGGAAATGATTGGTCAAAGATGGTGTCCCAAAACGCAATATCATCACTGGTTCTTTCCAAAGTTTTCATGGCTGAACTTCTCGACTCTTGCTCTTCAAAGTGGGCATTGCCGCAAAGTTCTACGCAGATGTCATGAGCATTCCTATACCTCTCTTATTATGATTTTCGAAAGCTGGAAGCCATTGGTCTGATAGAGAAGGGTAGTATCGCTGAATGGAAGGGTTCTGTTCGCAGTTTGCGATAGGTTCGATATCCTCGGTAACGCTTCGGAGTTGAAGGTAGCCCAACCAGCCCGATTAGCTCTCCGGTCAAGCCATTCGTCATACTAAGTTGCGAGCAAGGTAATATTCGTCGACGTCTTCGATGTGACTTCTTCTCTAGAGAACGTGCGTTGTCCGAAAATCGGTTTTGCATGACTTCCGTTTCTGAAGTATTTATGACTAGACTGCAGCGACATCTTTCCTCTTCGAAAAGATGCAGCGTTCCGGAGGCGTACCTCCGAGATTCTGTGATCAAGATGATGTTCTGTAAAGTGGAGATGACTGAGGCCCACATCATCAATGTTGGACCAAAGTCGCCCCAATCACAGCTGATGGCTGCAATAGAATCATGATTTTTCTGTGAGGATTCCTTTGAAATGAGTCGTTTAGTTATTATCTCATCCAAAGTGTTGGATAGCCCAAAGGATTGCACTCTAAAACTCGGATAAGAAAGCAGGAGGTGCCTTCCCTCCAAACTGAACGTTCAACTGTGCGTTCCTCTTCCGACCTCCGACCTCGGCGTGGAAGCTTCCTTTAACACGTAAACGCACCTCCCCCGCAGCAACTGCATGCCGCCTCATCTCAAAAGGTACATTTTTGGAACTAATTTATATTATAAAAACACGAGCAGAAGTGGCCTTTGTCGTAGAAGTTTTGCTTGACAAGACGCGCGCTCAGGCATTTGACATGGCCGGAATTGACGAGTGTAGAAGATACACTGCTTCGAAAATTGTCGAATCGAATCGGGTGCTGTGGACCAAGGAGCTACTGAAGGCGAAATGGATGAACTCGTTCAGCCGAGAGAATGAATCCGTCGAAGAAGAACTAATAAGTGATCATAAAAGTGTGCCGTCATGGTCTAGCGAAGCTGTGGCTCATAATCCGCGTGGTTGCGGCAATCTTGGCCCAAGTGATGCTATTTATCACAGCCAGAAAGCAGTAGATTTTTACGAGCTGCTTCCGAACGACGAGGTCTTACATCTTATAGCTGACAAGATCAATCGCCGAAAGTCTGTAAAGTGAGCAGTTTCATAAAACCAATGCGGCACAGATAGAGAGATTCATCAACCTGTGCTTGCAAATGGGTTTGGTCAAGATGCCATGCTTAGGAGATTATTGGTGTTCGTCTTGTCTCGGTGGTCAGGCGGGAAAGGTCATGAAAAGGACCAGATTCGAGAACTGCTGAAGCAATTTCACTTATCTAATGGTGATAAGCGACGGCGATCGACTGTACAAAATGAAAAAAAATTGAATTGTTCAGTAATGCAGCTGCGAAAGGGTTTCACCTGGAAAAGAACTTTGCATCGATTAATCTCCCGCACTTCGAGAAAGGGCTGTTTTCAGGCCACTGGCAAAGCGGTGCAATGCGGGGTAAAGTGTTCAAGCTATGCTGTAAAGGCAAGTAGAGATTCAAGTTGGAAGAGACGCATCAAGAGAAGACCACTAACGACAAAGTTGTCTCAGAGTAAATGGAAGGTTATCCTGCTGAACGGCGGACACTTTGCACAGACAAGCTCCACTCTAGTTGAAAGAAAAGTTGAAATCCAAGAGAACCCAACTAGTTGGGATTTTGAGAAGAAACAAAACACGACGCCGCTATTGTATCGCATCAATAGCCGAAAGTTGTGGAAAACTATTGTAGAATGAGATGGAATCATTTGTTGACCAGTCCAATCGAATGGCATCATATACGTCATTGTGCGTAGGACAGCAAAGTGGTTCAAAAAATATTCTTCCATCTGATAATCCAAACAGCAATGGTGAGCGCATGGAAATAATGCAAGGACATAATCGGGAATGCACGATTAAATGGACACGATCGAGTCGTTGCTGAATAGACTAAATAGAATTGGAAAAACTGAGAAAGGAAACTTCAAGTTTTTTCTCAAGACAGCCCAGGAACCGAAGTAAAATTGGTTACGGTGTGCAATGACATGCCAAATCAAATTTTGGAGGCCCACCTCTAGTGGGCGGAGTGTTTTCTTCAACAACGGCGTTTGATGGAAAAATGTAGATTTCGTTTAGGAGAGGGCCGTTCAGGAAAAAAAAACGTGTAGAGAAGCAATGTCTAAGGTCTTTCTAGCATACATGACTTGATTTTAGGCCCGCCCACAATGACGTGCATATCTCGAAGTGGACAGCGTTTCCTATAAGTCCTCACAATTTGGTCCTTAGGAAACCTAAAGAGAAGGGAAAGGTGGATATAGGCCAGAGGAGTGCACGTTGAGTTTATTGGTGCACCAAAGTCGACGGGTTTGCCCCAAACTTCATAGTTCTGTTCAGAGACAGTCCAGAGGCTGGAAATAAGTGGGAAGAGGTTTGCAAGTAAGAAAGGGTGAATGCCGTTGGTGGACGGGGACGCTCCAAAGTGGGCGGAGTTTGCAATGTACCTCTGTAACACGGTTCTAGAAGATGAAGAACGGGAAAATATGGGTAGAGGTTAGGGAGTAAGAAGAGCTGAAATGCTATTAGTTGTGGGTGGAGCTGAAGTGCACCTGTGGAGTTTACCACGAAATTCATTTAGATCGGTTCAGAACTAGTACAGAACGAAAAAAAGTGGACGATGGTTGACGAAGGAGAGAAGGTCAGAAGCTATCGGTGCACGGGCATGCAGCGTGGTAGGCGGAACCAGTCGCAGCATGTCTAGTGCTATTATCAGGAAGAAAACAGATATCTGACTCAGAAGGGCAACTCAGATATTTGTGGTGTATGGGTCTAAATTTGAGAATTTTCTTCGCTCCGTTCCATATCGACGCAAAACAATGTTGTGTGCGCAATAGCGTGCGGCGCCGACTGGTATAGGTAAAGTGGCCTGATCACGAATATGGCATTCACTTATGACTCGGATGTCAGTCTGCTGTCCCAGCTTACTTTTTTTCTGAATCTCTTGCCAACTTTGACTACCCGCATCTTCCTTGGGAAGTTCGTGTAGTATTTTTGGCCTTCATCTTTTGACTAGTATTCTTGACATCGATTTTCCCAGGTCTCCATCCGTGAAAGATGGATGCCTTTCAAGGTTAGACGTTTCCACAACTTGACGCGACGCGTCACCGTCCTAGTGACGTTATCAACGAGCGTTGCTATCTCTAATTGTGGAGGCGGATATTCATTCAAATTCATTTTTTAACGCTCTGACGGCATCGCTTGTTTTGACATTTTTGGCCGCGTGGGACAGGAGCGATTTTGCCGCCTCGTATTCTCTTTAACTCGAGTATTAAATGCTTGAAAACATGAATATCGCAGGGCAATTCCGGCAATGATGAAAGTATTAAGGTTAGCTGGATAATTATGGATGGGACGGTCCCAAAGAACACAGTGAAAAAGAAGAAGGAAGAACTGCCAGCTTCTGCTGCAAATGACAGGAAAAGTAGTTTAGCCTTGTTCATTCCGTCAAAAACACATATTTTGCCGTTTAAAAAGCTTTGTACTTACTTCTATCTGAAACTTTCTATGAATCAGCATGGAATAGAAGGAAATCTTGAAAAAGAATTGAATTGAAATTTCTGTGAGGTTCACAAAACCTCTGCTAAATCAAAGCATATTTGACCTTTCTGATGACAGTGTGGTTCATAGTTACCTTAATGTGTCATCTATAGAGTGAATAAAGAATAACTTGGAAGGAAGGCACGTATGCGCGAAAAAATGGGTGGCAGTGTTCAGACCATCATCCTCCACTGCAACCATTGCTCATCCATGCGCCACCCTGTGTCGCACCTCTGAGTATGGTAACAGAAATGCGCTGGCACGCTTCTGAGTGTACTCGACCTTCTTCGCCTCTGATTTGTTGACTTAATTTATTGTTGTTTAGAGTTGTTTTCTCGGATCCCGGTGTGATTCCTCGGAATCTCGACGCGCACACTGATTTTGTGGAGGCTGTTGAAAACTGTGAACGTGTGAACTACTGTTTCACCTGTTGGGTTGATAAACCCCAAGGTGCAAAACACTGCAGTGTTTGTGACCGGTAAGTCGTCTAGTTATTTGCTACCGCGTGGGTATCTTTTTTTGAAATATCGGGGGTGTCTGAGGTTTCCAGCTTTGGTTATGCGATTTGCGATAACTCCGCAGCGGCGCCGAGTAATTGTATTTTAATTCCGTGCCGACTTTCTGAAGCGTTTAGCTCTGTTTTAGGCCTCTTCCAATTTGTATAGCGTGTATTGATCTATTGTTTCTAATTCTTTGAAAGCTGTTGAAATAACAGAGCTGGACTTGCATGACCACAGAGTAGGCCAAACAATCGCTCCGGCCATTTGAAGTAAGCTGTGTGCCGGTAATTTCTACTGACTCGTTGAGCTTAGAATAGCTTTCCGTATTTGGTGAAACTTCTCGAAATGGAGTTGTGAAGTTTTTTCTTCGTTGTCTTAAATGTTAATCGTCGGAAACGGCTCTTATAAACGGAAAGAAGAGGAAGCGATTCGAGGCACGTGATTATGGCTGGTGATATTTGGAGTTCACAGGCACCACGTTGATTTCTCGGGGCATTTTTCCTTTTCCGTTTTCGGTATCTGCGGAACGGTTCTCTGAAAGAGGTCACGAGGATTCTATCACTGTAATTTTCTCACTGTGGCACCCTCTACATCCTTAGATCTTTCTTTATTCCTGTGCACACTGCGAAAAGCTGTTTTGTTTTGATCACTTTGTGAAGAACTATCACATATGCTCGTAATTTATTGAAATTTTGTACATTTATGGGTCTGTGTTGTGTGTTTATTCTGTGTGTCAAAGTTTATCTAGCAAAAAAACTTGGAAAGAAGCACGAGAAGAGAATTCCCAATTCTGCCTACCCAAGTGGGATGCAGATCAACAAAACAACCAAATATAAACACTTTCTAGTCGTAGTCATGAGCATATGCAAAAACTTCCTGTCCCCAAGATTCGAACGTGGGAATGTACTCATTTGAAGCAAGAGCGATAGCCACTACATCACCCGGCCAACCGACATGAACGGTATCGAGTTCATCTTGTGCGAATTACGGGGGATCGACGAGATGTGGAGCGCGCTACCGTGAGGAATTCCCTCGTAACTTCTTCAGAGAATCGTTCCGCAGATACCGAAAACGGATTTGAGCTCAGCGTCGCAAGACGCGTGCATCGGACTACACCTCATTACAAATGGCCGGACTGACCAATTGACCATTCCTTGTGAGTGCAGATGTTCTCAGCTCCAGAATTGTCTCGCGGATTCCGCGATTATGTGGGCGCGCAATGCCGTGAATCAAATAGATGAGCAGTAGCATACCACAGGCGTTCTGGGGATCTGCGCTAGAGTTCTGCAGAGTAAAACTAACCACTTAATGATGTCGATGTTGAGAAATTTGTAGTTGAGCTTCCTTATCAGCCGATCCATTGATAAAGGTCCGACGCGTGATAAAGATCTAAAGGGAATTGGTAAGATTGGAGGTGGTGTAGGTGAAGTACGCTGTGACATAAATGACGTTTCTAACGAACGTATTGCGGACATTGTTGTTTGTCATCGTGAACTCATGAACGTGTAGATTTCCGCAGTAGAAAGTGACTTGGAAAACAAATTGACAAGTTCCTAGGATGCCTTAAGAGTTACAGATTTTGGCACCTTGTCTTCCCGGTGAGTGTGATCAGGGAGATTCTCTTACCATATGTCGCTCATAACTTACTCAATAATTTTCCAGGGAGAAGAAAATTGGAATTAGAGTGTTGCAGGACTTTCTACCAATTCAATAATCATATCTTCTTCAGTCACCTAATCATGGATGGGGCGGAAGTGGTGTAGTGGCAAGTGGCACGCTTACCACGCGAGCGGTCCGGGGATCAAATCCTGGGTCGTGAGTCGCCCGGGCCAACCAAGCCTTCCATCCCTCCGGGGTCGGTTAATTGGTACCAGACTTGTCTGGGAGGATAAAAACACTGAACATCGGCTGGCCCCCGCAAGTCATTGTATAGGCCACATCGCATTCAAACGCCACTACGAATGTACAAATGGAAGTAGAATGCGTGCCGCATCCCAAAAAGGGATTGATCAACGGCAAATGCTTTATCCTTTTTATCCTTTCAATCAATGGATACAAAAGGTTCTCGTGGACATTGAAAACTCAAAAGATGATCAGAGCGTTATCCATGATATTCATATGTGTACTGGAAGGAGTTGCTTGTGGCAGTTATATGGGAGGGTGGGCACACGATAGGTACCGTGGCAGAAAGTGTCACGGATAGTCTTGGGACTCTTCTCGGCCCGACAGGGCAGGAGTTTGTGTTTCAAGTCCTCGTGGTGATAAATTTTGCATTTCAGCTAAGAACTAAGGAAAGTTGTTCTTGGTATGTCAGTATCACTTCATGCTTTCGGTCCGCGCAGGCAGTTTATAAACGATCTACTCTTCATCCTCGTCTAATAATAACTTACCCATTTACACAATAGGCAGTGGCGGACAGCCATATACCGTTACTGTTACAGTTGCAGGAGTTCCTATCCGGAAAGTGATACTCGGTTGAGCCGTCGTTCCTTCCACTAGCCACGCTTTTGACAGTAACTAGTAACTCGGCTTTCAAGAATCAGTTCATGGTGGATGTGGTTCGCAAAAAGGGACTTCAGCCATTGTGAAATCGTCAGAAAGCACACCCCTTGCTTTTCCGCAGAGCTCATCTACATGTTTTGACTTACCTGCGAAATTTCGACTGCGCTCGTAACTGGTTGTTCTCACTCTATTGAGGTGTTGCTTCGATCCTTGGACAGGGGGCAGCCATTTCTCTGCTATTAGTGAAAGCTTTGCTCATGAAATTAAAGTGCAAAAAGTAACTTTGATTTTTTAGGTGTGTGAAGGATTTCGATCATCATTGCCCATGGCTTCATCAATGTATATCGATCAGAAATCTGCGATTATTTCTCGTTTTTGTTGCTTGCGTGGCCGCTTCAGCTGGAATCTACACTTGTGCGTGTGTACTGCTTCTTATTGATGAGTACCGTAGATTGGACATAGGTAAGGAAACTTTTGAACGTCAACATTTTTTGAGCTTGAAGCTGTTTTTTCCCTTCAATTTTTATTTTATATCTCAGGTGACTGGTTCCTGTACATTTTTTGATTTCGGTTTGGACCATTATCATCGATAAAGATCAAGATAAATGCTAAAAAGATTTCAAAAGCGCTTTTTTGGTTTCAGTCAAGTCCCCGTCTAACCTGTTCTTTGTCAAGTTATCGAAGTGTGTTTTGATGAAGCATTGCTGTCCATGTCTGAAATGCGCACATTTCTTCCGTTTCCTGTGCCACGACAATAATAACCGAATCTCTGACCAATCTCAAACCTAGTACTTCAGCTCTCATACCTGTGCTTCCTTCCGCGTGGAAGCATCATAGGCTGAAGGAACGATTTACACAAATTCTGTAGCGGTCTTCCATTCAAATGTTCTTTCATTCTCTAATTGTACATTTTTATTAGTGTCAGTGTTAACGTGACAATGGTGAAACAGATGCGGTAGTGTGAAGTAAAAAAGCACGTTATGCGATTAGATCTAATTCTTTGAGTGAGCGAGGAGGGCCTCTAATCACCGGGAAAAGTACACTACGATTCACAATAGATCGCGCAGTCTAAAAAACTTAGTTTTTGAATGAAGCAAAAATCTTGATTCTTTCTGCTTTTTGATACATAATTATCTGCATATATTTTCTGGGAAGGTAAATAATATTGACGCAATAGGCAATTAAATACAGTGTCTTTGAAAACTTTTAGAGTGAAATATTGATTTTTTGGCGGTGCACAATAGATTGGACGATCTTGAGATATTCAATTTTTCCGACCATTTCTTTCCTGTTTTTAAGTTTGCATGTACTCACGTATTATGTGAAGTATACGCGTTTCACGCTTCACGAACGAAGACTGGATTGGAAATGATGCGTACGACGGTCGCCTTGGCAAGAGCGGTCTCCAAATCCCTAATTAA